AAAAAAAAAAAAAAAAAAAAGAAATACATCAGCCATTGTTTTGCTAAACTCTGGTCTGGGCTGAGCACAGTAGCTCACACCTATAATCCTAGTACTTTGGGAGGCTGAGGTGAGAGGATTGCCTGAACTCACAGGTTCAAGACCAACCTGGACAACTTGGCAAGACCTCACCTCTACAATAAATCAAAAAATTAGTCGGGCGTGGTGGCGCCTGCCTGTAGTTCCAGCTACTTGGAAGGCTGAGGCAGGAAGATCACCTGAGTGAGACCAGCAGGTCGAGGCTGCGGTGGCCATAAGCGTGCCACTGCCCTTCAGCCTGGGCAACAGAGACTATGACTCAAAAACAAAACAAAACAAAACTCTGGCCACATGGCTCTTTGAGCTATCGTTGCCATGTTTCCTAGCTTTAGCCTCCTCCCTTACCTTGGGGAAGTGAATCTTCTCTCTATTCTCTCTCTCTAATTTACTTTCTAAATAAACTATATTTCTCAATCTAAAAAAAAAAAAAAGGCTGGGCTCAGTGGCTCAGCCCTTAATCCCAGCACTTTGGGAGGCCGAGGTGATTGGACTGCCTGAGCCCACGAGTTCGAGACCAGGCTGGGCAACTTGGCGAGACCTCATCTCTACAATAAATCAAAAAAAATTAGCTGGGCGTGGTAGCGCACACCTGCAGTTCCGGCTACTTAGAAGGCTGAGGCGGAAGGATCGCTGGAGCCCAGCAGGTCGAGGCTGCGGCAGCTGGGAGTCTGGGTGACAGAGTGAGACTCCAACTCAAAATAAATAAATAAAATAAAAAGAAATACATCAATGTACCAGGAGAAGTGGGGACCAAAATCAGACCCGAACTTTACCTATACAATGACCATTTGTAAACCTAAGCCTGAATTGTCCCCCACATCTTAAAAATAAATATATCTTTTTTTTAGTTGGAGTCTCAATCACCCAGGTTGGAGTGCTGTAGCATGCTCAGGGTAACCCCAGCGTCGACCTGCTGGGCCCCGGCAATCCTTCCACCTCAGCCTTCCAAGTAGCTGGAACTATAGGCGCATGTTACCATGCCCAGATAATTTTTTGATTTATTGTAGAGATGAAGTCTCACATGTTGCCCAGGCTGGTCTCGAACCTGCAGGCTCAGGCAATCCTCTTGCCTCAGCCTCCCAAAGTGCTGGGATTATAACCTAAAATAAATACATTCTAAAAACTAAAAAATTAAAATTAAAAAACATCGATGTGTTTCTCAAGGTATAGTATGTGGTCCACCTATGCCAGAATGGTTT